GTGTTGTATGACTTCACTCAGTTCTGATTCTATCCACTTATATACTTACCAGAACTTCAATGATAAGTCTATGCCAGGTCCCAGAGGGCACAAAACCATAGACATGCATTTTGTCAACAAGACATTTTTGCCTGTACTTTACTTTATTTTCTCTCTGAATCTGGTTTTACCAGTAACAGAATCAATAGCTATGTATGATCCAAGAATAAGAGCTAGAAATGTAAACGTTATTGCTAAATTGCTGTGTGAGCCTAGAGAAGACTCTTCTGTGTCTTCAGTTTTTCTTTTGTCAAGAGGTTGATTTCACCTAATGATCACTGGATCCCTGTGATCTGCCTCACCTGATATTCAAAAGGAGCACACATTGCAGTTTTTTCATCTTCAACTATTGACATACTTTCTGTCTTCATGCAAAACTTTGGACACTGTGACTCTAAAAGACATACATTTCAGTGCAGTCACTGGACTAATTTTAACAAGACTGTAATATCTACAGGATTAATCATCTGACATTCACCTAAATTTTTTCCTTGTTTTTATCATGGCCATTAGAGTCAAGCCTTTTCCTTGGGTTCCCAGTTTCTACACAATTCCCACCATCCCAAGCTCTTATTAAAGACTCATTTACACATGAGCAGGCATGCAAGCTTTTGGTCTACTGGTGAGTGGAAGAGGGGGAAAGGCAGCAATGAAAAATGGACTGAGATAAACCATCTTCCATAGACTCCCATTGCCCTGGAGATAAGAGAAAGAGAGAAGAGGAAGGGCTGGTTGGTCCAAAGTGTGGTGAGACCTGGGGACACCTGAGCATATAGACAAGGACATAGTCACAGACATCTAGAGCTGAAAGTGAAGCATCCAGCTGATAATGAAGTGAGGGGAGATGCACAAGAATGCATAAACTTGCAAATAGTACCCATTTGGTCTAGCCTTGATGGCTTGAAAATCAGAACTCGACTAGAGGAAGATAAAAAACAATATTTGATAAAGGAAACAAGTTTAAATTGCTACAATTTTATGAACTTGACCTATACTTATGGACCTAGTAGTTCAAAATACCAACTGAGACTCCTTCCTTCTGCTGCAGTAGCCATTGAAGAAAAGCAGCCATGGATGTGTGCTACCTTATGGCCATTGGCGTCAAGAAGCACCCCAAAGTAACCAAGAAAGTGAGCAAGCTGAGGCACAGCCACCACCATGGGTGATTCACCAAGCACACCAAGTGCGGGACATGATCCAGGAGGTGTGTGGCTTTGAGCCTTATAAGTTCTGGGCCATGGAGCTGCTGAAGGTGTCCAAGGACAAGCAGGCACTCAAGTTCGTCAAGAAAAGGGTGCGGACACATATCTGCACCAAGAGGAAGAGAGAATAGTTCAGCAACGTCCTGGCTGCTATGAGGAAAGTGGCTGCCAAGAAGGACTGAGTGGGTCCCCGTCATCTGTGACCCCTCCTCCCCAAAATGAAAACCTTTTCAGAAAAAAAAAAAAAAAAATCTGAGAGTGGAGGACTTTTCACACCAAATATCAATCCTATCCCCTCTGTATACAGGATAGATAAGGACGGGCAATTTAGACAGTGTTGTTGTTGTGAAGTACCATGGAGTCTTTCTTCAAAAGATGAGGCTTTCTGCTCCCGTAAAAATTAACAGCCTCAGAAACCCTGCACAGGGTCAGTATGTTAACATCATCTATAATAATAAAAACAGCTCTCAAAAGAAAATTAGGAAAACAATACCATTTACAATAGCCACCCAAAGAATAAAATATTTAGGAATAAATCTAACCAGAGAAACAAAAGACTTATACAATGAAAACTACGAAGCACTATTACAAGATGCTAAAAGAGATTTCCAAAAATGGAAGCCTATACCATCCTCATGGAAAGGGAGATTCAACATTGTGATAATGTCAATACTACCCAAAGCAATCTATAGATATAATGCAATCCAGATTCCAGTAACAGTCTTTAAAGAGATGAAAAAAAAAATTTTTTAACTTTAGGTAGAAGGGAAAGAATCCTAAAATAAGCAACAAACTGCTTAAGAGAAGAACAAAGTTGATGGCGTATCATTCCCTGATTTAAAAAAATTATTACAAGGCTACCATGGTCAAAATAGCATGGTATTGGTATAATGAAAGCTACATAGATCAATGAAACAAAATTGAGAACCCAGAGTTAATACATCCATGTATAGTCAAATGATCTTTGAGAAGGGTCAAAATATACTAATTTGGGAAGAGATAGTCTCTTCAACAAATGGTGCTGTCAAAACTGGAAATTGATATGCAAAAGAATGAAACAAGACCTATACTTCACACCATATACAAAACCTAACTCAACGTGAATTAAAGCCCTAAATGCAAACCTTAGAAAAATAAAGATAAAGATCATCAATGAAAAATAGGAACAAAATTAAGGGTTCTAATACTGGGGCGCAATGAGTCAGAACCAACTCTATGGCACACAACCACCAATATACTCTACTTGTTACTGGAGATGGATATCATGTTTGGTAAAGTGGAAGGCCGGAGAAAAAAAGGAAGACCCCCAACAAGATGGACTGGCACAGTGGCAGCAATGGGCTCAGATGTAGCAATGATTGTGAGGTTGGCCCATGACCAGGCAGTGTTTCATTCTATTGGGCACAGGGTTACTATGAGTTGGTATCAACCCAATGTCACCTAACAATAACATATTACTTATTATATATATTATATATTGTGTATATAAGTACTATATGTTAGGAGCTCTGGTGGTGGTGTTTATGTGCCATGGAGTCAGTTCTGACTCATAGCAACCCTGTACAGGGTTTCCGAGGCTGTAAACCTTTACAGGAGCAGAAAGCCTTATCTTTCTCCTGAAAAGTAGATGGTAGTTTTGAACTGGTGACATTAAGCTTTGCAGCCCAATTTGTAACCACTATGTTACCAGAGCTCCTCTGGTAATAAATATAGTGGTTATGAGTCGGGTTGCTAACCTCAAAGTCAGTAAGGAGTTCGAAACAACCAGTCATTCTGTAGGAGAGAGATGAGATTTTCTGCTCCCCTAAAACCCAATGCAAGGTGAGAATTGAATTCATAGCACACCACCACCACCATACAATATATATGTTATATACTATATGGTTATGTGGGTTAATATGCTTGACTACAAAGTCTTTTTGAACTGCAAGGTTGACAGTTCAATCTCACCAGCTGCTTCTTGGAAACCCTAGACAGGGTCGCTATGGGTCGGAATTGACTTGACAACACTTAACAACAACAGTGTATACTATGTATTAGAGGCTCTGGTAATATAGTGCTTATGTATTGGACTGTTAACCTCAAGGTCAGCAGTTCGAAACTACCAGCTGTTTCATAGGAGAAAGATGAGGCTTTCTGTTCCCATATAGATTTGCAGCCTGTGAAACCCTATATAAGATCACTATGAGTCAGAACAGACTCCACAGCACATAACCAGCACCTCCATCACTATATATATAATATG